TGTTAGCTGTTCATGAGTAAAAATCAACGGCCAAAAAAGGAGGCCCCGTTTCTCTTTTTCCTTGATGGATTTTTCTGCTCTTTCCGCTACTAGCGTACCGTTGAGATCCACCACGCACACTAAACCTTTCTTGAATTTACCGTAATCGCTGCCTTCAAGGGGTAACACCCGGGCTACGATAGACGTTTGAGAGCGTTAAGTAATGAAGTTGGAAGCGATGAGTGGCTTGAAAAAAACAGAACCTCTTCGATACGCCCCGAACAAGGCACCCTTCTATATCCTCCATAATACACCTTGGGATAAAGGAGACGCAAGCAGGACGATTTTCTCGAGCGGCTAGTTCTGGTTTCTGCAGTGCGACAACACTAACGCTGCCGCAACCGCAGCCACAGTCTTATAGCTGCGCCAGCGTGGCAGCCGACAGCGGAAGTGTAGCTTGCATACAAAGGTATGAACTGCGGGCAGGGTCAACCGCCCGTTGCGCAAAGAACGCGGAGGTCGCATATGGTCGAACGAAATGGGAGAGGGTCGTATCTAGAGAGATGGGGCCACAAGGGGCTGCAAGACGACTTGAAAAGTGCAGTGTCCTGCAGTGCACATTCACGCTCTAATTCTCTCCAGGAGCTCTGCACCGTGCAGCTGTCGGATAGTCACACAGACAAGAGCTCCATGGGAGCATTAGAGCATGCAGAGCATCACAAGTCTCACTATCGGCCACTATTTTCCTTAATACGCGGACGGCGCTTTCGCTCGACAGCACAGATCAAGATAACAATAGCCAAAAACTTTGTTACAGCGACGTGCAGTTCAACAACATGGTCTGTCTTCAATGATCGAACATTCCCGAAATCCCAAGGAGAACAAAGTGTAGAGCAGTTCATGGGGGAGTGAATCAAGAGTCCTATATAACAGTACATTGCAACTCAGTCACGATACTAACACCTTCTTCAGGAAAATGGAGGACTTTCATATGCGAGTTCTGTCCACAGATAGGTCCACGACGCTGACACAGAATGCATTTCCCATGAAAACGCCTTTTCTGTCAGTGGCCGTGAGCAGACAAACTTCCTGAAGAGAATTTCGATGCTTTCAAGTCAAATCTAAGCGGGACGAAGTAATTTGCAGAATTGAATTCTAGACCCTCTTAAGAAATTTGAGAAAGAAGAAAGAATTTCAGGAAAATTTCACACTTGTTACAAAGTACTCTTCGAGTGGATTCTAACAGCCTTTACCGCTTCTCATCACATTAGCTTTGAAGGAACTTTATGCCTTCGAAGACTGCATAGTCGCAGTTCAGGAAAATGAGAAAAATTGAAATTCCTTCTATTTAATGAATCTATTTAATGGAAACTTCATGTTGCCTCGATCCCCTCCTTTGAGCGAGACAGAGCGCGCGGATTGACCACGGTCCACCACTTCTTCATGTTGGTGACTGCCCACATAACAATGATGCACAAATTATGTGAAAAACATAATAGTTAATACGGGGGGTCGTACCGATCCCCGAAAAGGAAGGGGGTCTTAAAAATTTTGCAATTCGCGCAACGCAGGGTTGACCCTGACTGCGGGTCCAGGGCAATCCAGCGCCTTTGCCGCACATTTTGAAGCCGAAAAAGGCCAATCAACGTTCATCAAAATTTACCAGGATCGGAAATGCACTAGCTGAACAAACCTAACCCCGGACCGTACCTTTGAAGGCAAGAATCAAAAAATTTGATGTAGTAATCCCCTCGAATGCGAATTAGCTGCATGTACCACAAGTACAGAAAAAAGGAAGAACTGTTGTCAAAGCACAGATAGCAGTCTTCCTGCTGTGTTCTGCGGAAAAGTGTCAGACAGCGAAAAAAGAGATGATGTGAGTCGAGGAGAGACGAGAGAACTTCTTGCCGTAAAAGCAAAGCTACTTCAACCAGTACGACATAAAGATGATATCAAACGGTGAGAGGGAACGGCTGGACCGGGCGTTGCCAGATCGAAATTTAAGGCGCCTGTCGCCTTGCTTAGGCATTTAGAGGTACTAAGTTGTTGCGGCCCTCACTGCTGCCGACCTAGCACCTCGGGAGAAACCCAATCCCGACCTTTCCCTTTGAGTTACAAATCAATTCATATTTGGGTCAGGCAAACTTCTATCGTTCCAGGGTTCGTTGACTGTTAGTGGACTCCTTTGAGAGGATAGTGACGTTGATAAACGAAGTTCCTATACAAATGCCAGTGCAGTTGTATGGAGCCGAGATGGACATCCGACAAGAGTTTGATCAACGCCGATGCTTCATCCTCGATCTTTCGAAATGGGTCACAAGCAGACATCTCATTTTAGCTGCTTAAACCTTAGATAATCCTGAAAGTAAAGTCTATTTCAACTATTTAATGTTGAATGCTTTTCGTTCTTCTGGTTACTAACTGCTATGCGTCATTCAGAGAAACGACTGATATCTCTTAAGCCTTTTTAATTATGTTCTCACTACATAGGTTTTTTTTCTAAAGAATACATATTTATGAACAAAGAGTGAACGTGGCCACTGCTATCCGTTGCCAACTGGAGATAAAAGTACTTACGATCATATGCTGAAATATACCATGCTAGAGGAAGGGAGTGCAGGTGCAAATGAAGGTGATTGGCCATCAAATCCTGCCATCTCCACGTCCACTCGCGGCGTAACCTCCGTCTTGTCTCGTTTTCTCCTTGCCTCCCTCACCTTCACAGTTTCTGGTCCCAATGCGCATTCTTTACTTCTTCAAAAGCTCAATGACTACTTCAGGGGTCCACATAAGTAAAGCATTTTCAACAGCTTTTCTTTATTTATTTTCGTACCTGACATTTTCTCTATCATTCATACTACATATATATATTTTTTATTATTCATTGAGCGGAAGTGGTGTAGTGACAGGTGGCGCGCTTACCACGCGAGCGGTCCGGTGATCAAATCCTGGGTCGTGAGCCGCCGGGCCAACCAAGCCTTCCACCCCTCCAGGGTTGTTAAATAGGTACCAGACTTGTCTGGGAGGTTAAAAACACTGACTTGAACAGCGGCTGGTCCCCGCAAGTCATTGTATAGGCCACATCGCATTCAAACGCCACTAAGAATGTACAAATGGAAGTAGAATGCGTGCCGCATCCCAAAAAGATCAACAGCAAATGCTTTACCCTTATCCTTTATTATATTTATTTATTTAATTATTCAAACTTTAATATCACTTACTATTCAATTTGGTTACCATTAGCAACATCTTCTAATCGTGGAGTGTGCTTTCAACCAGTCTGTGCTGCACTACATAACATGCAGAATATTTGAAGGAACTGCCAGGGTCAGCCCTACGTTGTTACTTAATAGTAACAACGGGGGGGGGGTCGTACCAGGTTGATTTTATAGGAGGGGGGGGAGGGGTCTAATCCGCTTCAGTCGCGTGAAAGTACATGTGAGCTTGTGGTGAAACTCGACTTTTCACGAGTAGTAGGCTAGGCGAGTTGGAAGCGCATGGGAGAAAATTCGCCGTTTTAGCGCGCGTATATACCTCCCTCCCTAGAAAATAAAGCAGTGGGATTATAGGTAGAGGTGGGGTAAATTGGAGTGGGTACACTATGAATTTAATGAATTGTTCACTACTACACCACGAATTTAAGCACTTTTCAGCTGTTTTTCTTGTAAATAAATTAGAACGACTTGCTCTCAAGAGTGAAAGTGGTGAGAGCAGTGACAGAGGCGCCGTTTGCAAACACAGGCCCAGTAATCCAATCCTTAGTAGTACGCCCTCCAAGCCAACCGAGCATATTACCCTCCATGGTTGAAATGAATAGTTGACACCAGACTCGATAGTCTGGAGTGATGAAATGCGCTAACTTTAATTTAGGCCGGCTTATGCAGTTTAAAGTATAGGTCAAATTGGATTCAGAATGGCATCACGATTCAGAATCCGTGACGCATCCAGAAACGAACTATTAAATGCTGCGTGCTTTATATTAACTTTCATCAATCCAACTTTCAATTTACGCTTGTCCCTTCAAATAGTTTCACTAATTTCAATTAATATAGCAAATGATAGTGAAGTCCCCATTTGCACAGGAACATTTGGCACAAATGTCACATCGAATAAACCAGCTTGTGATGGCTTTGAGTGATTTTTAAGCTACGAGTGCGGCATGAACAAGATCGGGTCACACTTTAGCTTGATCTTTGGTGCGTACAAATCGAATTCTCAGCGTATTCGATGAATCACATAGTGATTTTTTCATACGTAATATTCGCTAAGGTCAGTCAGGTTTCCTGATGCTATTGATGTATATTTCATATATTAACCATGCAATCATTTACATACTTTTTATAGATCTTCTATGTAGCTCTACACATAGTACTGTTACATACTAGTACATAGTAGTAATGGTTTCAAACTTCTGCAAGATGTAGCTGTTGAATTTGGCCCCATTTCTGGAGTGATGCAATGTGCTTCTTACGCCTGCATTACCCAACGGTACAAATAAATAAAAACAAATACTATAATACTAATACTATTACTACAATCATACTGATTACCCAAAGTAAATATGAATACATGCATTGCTATAAACATGTTTAAAATATTTGTGCAATAGCTTCTACATCTCTCAGTACCATCCCATTTAGTGTAATTTTGCCTTTCCTAACAAGATCCCCTCAAAAATTTGGTAGGCATGGGTAGTGTGAAGCCATGTCTTCATTGGTTGCTGCACATATTCGCGCTTTTCAAAATCTTGGCCAACCCAAACAGAAAGTAATACGGTAGTGAAGTCGCGACGGCGCATTCACTGCATATTCATTCGCTGGTGGTCTTGTCAAGTTCAGTTCCACAGAAATTACAAATGAATTGAGTTAAAAGCATATTGTGAGTCGAACATTCGCGAAGCGAACGCATGAAAATTTTGTTTTCGATAGGGATCGTTTGTTATGAGGTATTTCCACTGAAACGTGGACATAATATCTTTATAATCTGGTTTAACTACCCAAGTTTGAGATTTATAATCAATCATGGATCAGTTCCAAGCACTTATTGAACCCGGCCGCCAAATTGCCAAGGATTCAATTCGGTTGGTGAAGAGGTGCACTAAGCCAGAGAGGAAAGAGTATCAGAAGATCGCAGTTGCGACGGCGACTGGCTTCGCGATCATGGGCTTCATTGGATTCTTCGTAAAACATATCCATATCCCAATCAATAATATCATCGTCGGAGCTTAGATGAATTACATGCTATGTGAAGAGATTTATTCAACAAGTTATTCACCGTGGACTGCTCCATGTATTGTTTATATATCTTTTTTCTTGTTTGTCTGTGATTCTTGAAGATTTTTTGATGACTTATTGCACATTACGAACAAGTCGTCCCAGCTCTCTTTCAGCTAGGCTGAGCTGAAGCGGAACTCAACATGAAAACGCAGTTCACTGGAAATCAAGGATCATGGAGTTGGCCAGTGATATAGGGATGAACCAAAAGCAGGGAAAAAGTCTCAAATCCCGAGAAATGAGTCCCACTTTTTTCCCGTTGAATCAATAGGCGTTCTCATTGGTGCTGACCTCATCAGCACTAACGCTTTCCCCGCTACTGCTAAGTCAGACGGCGAGTGAGTGGGATAGCAGCGGCACGAGCGGCGCGGGGATGGCAGTGCTAGGCCGATGGGGCCACACCCTTTTCAGCAAAGCCCTCATCGTCCCGCACTCTTAGTGGGGCCCGCCTGCCTTTTCACTTGTTTCCTTCTCATTTTTCAACCTACGATCTGACCGTGAGGGCACACCTCAAACGGAAGCAATTGAAAGAGTCGCTCAGAACATAAAATCAGTTTCATTGCTAGCTTTTTTCATGCTTAAATTGTAATGGACCAAGCGTAGCAACCAATTTGCGGACCAGGGTCAAGCGTGCGTTGAGGAATCCTCGACACGTCGCAGGGGGGGGGGTCGTAAAGGCCCGCTGGGTGGAAGAGATCGGGCCGGATTGATGCGGTAGGAGCATCACCATCGCAAGACAAACCTCAAGCGTCGAGTCGATGCCAGGCCAGAGGATTTCCAATGGAAATGATATTTCACCCACACAAAATTTTCGTGATTCTGAGGCGCCCGTGTAGTAATTCTTAGTTACTTCAGTGTTTTATTACCACACAAGTTAAAGAATCAGAAATTCGCACGCTTTCCAAGGAAAATTTGATTTTCAAAGTGAGTCCTCGAATCTGAAGGGATGTGAAGTACACGACGCATCCCAGAGTGGGTCCAGTTGTTGCGCGCGCTTCAGCTACGGCTCCTTGGACAAACAATCTCAATTCAGGAAAAATCGGGAGGATTCTGAAAGGGTCGGTGCGCAATTACAGGGAGGTGTACACCATTCAACATTGCATTAACCCATCTTCAGGGTGGAATTCATAAACATGTAACCTTTAAAGTTGAGTAACGCTATACAATTCTTCTTGGAAAGAGAAAAGCATGGAGATTTTGGATCTGTTCCTGCTTTAATATGTAATCGCTCCAGAAAGAAGCTATAGTCGTTGGAATAGTGCCAATGTAGACGAAAAAGTTACTTTTCGGTGATACACGGGACAAAAATCCTCACATGCCATTTTTTTAATACTCGAAACTCGTCCTATAAACATTCAGTAAGCATTTCTTCTTCTTATTCTTACCGTTTGTCCCACTCTGGCGCGGGTTCGCTTTCTGGTATTATGACGCCACTTTCCGAATGTGCTTGATCGGAGATGAAGTCCAACTAAATTTCAAGTCCTCATTGCAACGTATCAGCATCGTTGCTTCGTGGCGTCCTTCTTGCCGCTTTCCTGGCACGTTAAAGTCTAGACCGATCTTACGGACACTCTCATTATTACCGCGACCGGATCTGGCCGTACCACCTCAGGCGACTCGCGCATCTTATCAGCCGATGACCACACCGACATCCGTTTCCTTGATTGCATCGTCGCGTAATCGCGGTCCAGACGCGTGACCCCGCAGTCCATCCCGAGCATTTTTGTCTTACTACACTAGACTAGCCTCAACCTCTTTGGTCACGGGTCCAGCACTTTCTGCTCCGTCAATGGCCGACTGTCGACGCCGGTCTGTAGATTTCGATTTCAGTCCTCGGTATTTTCTTATCGCAGAGACGCCGGCCATCGAGCGCCATTTAGCCGCAACTGCGCTCACTTTGGGAGTTTACTTCAGAGACAGCCTACCATCGCACCGATGCCGACTCCAAGATCTTGAATGATGTACCGTGACTCCAGTGCCAATAATCTTAAATAGACCTGCTCAACTCGAATCATGGTCAAGACCCTGTTTCTTCACGTTCAAGCCTAAAGCCAAAACATAGCCAGACCGTTCGGACCAGGTTTTCATGTTCCTGTTTCTCGAGCAGACTTTTTGCTCGCAGCGGCATCACATCGTCCAGCATCATACGTCCATGGAGCGGCTCTTGAAGATCACGCGAATGGCATCCATAACGACCATGAATAGGATGGCAAGCGCAGAGCCTTGGTCACCACCGACGCGAGATGGAAACTTCCATCGAAAGTACCTGCCACCTCGTTTGCACCCGACTCCTTGAGCTTCGATAAAGTATGCGCACGCCACTCAATGATCTCTTCGGAACTGTCGTTGCCGTAAGGCCATACCATATAACTTCCGAGGAACGCGATCAACGCCTTCTCCAGGTCAGGAAGCAAGATGCACAGCTTTCTTTTCTCGCAGATGTCTTTCCCAGCAAATCGGCTGCGTGTATTGCATCGATGGTGCCGCACCTGTAACATCATCCTACACCCCGTTTCGAGGCAAGCTGCACGATCACGAAAGGCCGTCCCAATTCGCTCAAGATCTTCATCGTGCGAGATGCAGGCCGGATTGACGGTAACGTCGTAGCAGTCAGTCAGGCTGCCCTGTCTTACTTCCATGCGAATCCGCTGTGCTCTGTTGCCAGCTCTCGCACCTTTCTCTCTGCTAACGACTCTGGTTGAAAAACGCTGGTCAACCCAATTCAGCAGGACACCAAGCATTTCGTGCCTTCTTCCCTATGTCGCCGCCAAATTCATCGGGTCCTGTAGCTTTTCCCGACTTCATCTTCTTCAGAGCCATTTCGCGTTCTTTCACGTCTATCTCTGGCAGCAGGACCTTGCACAGGTGGAAACATAAGGACTGCTGGATTGAGCAATTACTCTTCAGGACTGAGATGTTTCGTTGCCATCGCTTCATACTGCTTTTTTGCGGTCACGTCCAGGAGGGACTATTTTCGTGTGAGCCGAAAAACTTCTCGATATCCCTGACTGGCATGACGGGCTTTGGCGAGGCGATAAATATACGTCACCATCGCGCGTCTCGAGCTTCGCGTTGTAACATCACAAAAGTGGCAGGCTTTTGCGGCAGCAACGCCTCTTTCCACTCTTCGCTGCCTGAATACACTTCCGGACCCGTTGTCGACAGCCTATCGCCAAGGAATACGTGGACAAGGCCTCTTTCTTCTCACGTACTTTTTCTTCACATCGTCGTCCATAGCCACGATTGCTGTCGACTCTCCCGTGCCCAGGTTTAGTTGTGCCGAGTTCCGGTCAACGGCGGAAACGTGATATCGGCCTTCGGCACACTTTTCAAGTTTCATCAACATATAGTCGACTGCTGGCCAACTGGACATGTTGGATATCCAACTACCGTCTCCATTCTCTTCCACACCCCCACCAACTTTGATTCTTCGCTGTCACACCGCTCGATGGTTTCATCTTTCGGAGAAGCCGGTCTTCAAGTCAGGCAAATCCACGTCGATGTTGCGCTTGTGACAGTCTCATATGCAGCGCCATTTTGCGTCTGTACCAGCCTCGAATCGCGTGCCCTGACGAGGACCAAAGTGCGATTTCGCGTTCTGGTAGTAACCGCTGTCGAATGTGATTCATGGGAATCCAGTTTCCGGCAATTCGTATCACGATGGTAATAATCAGATGATATTCGCCGTACTCTAAAAATCGTCTCGCCATCGTGTTACGTGACTCCATCCTCCAAATCCCACCAATGACATCGTAACATTCTTTTCGCCCTCGCCGGGACGTGTGACCGTTAGGTCACCTTGCAATCGAATGACAAGCCTCTCTGATCGGTACCGTTCGCGGCTTTCATCAGCGGTCCAGAATCTTCAACTCTTTTAGCCTCGCTTCATAGTCAGCCAGTCTGCGAAGCATATGCAGAGAAGAAGTGTATCGGCTTACGTTCGATGACGACAAGCGAGAGTCATTAAGACGGTGCGTACAAAGCGATCACGCTTTACTATCGAGCACCGGAAGCGGTGCAATGAAGACAACAACTCCGACCCCACTGCTGGCTTCAGACCGGCCAACAGAGAACGGCCTCTTACACCTTCGTCCACATATCTCTCTCGATCTGCAGCAGGACCACCTCGTTGTCCTGCACCGCACAGAAACAATCCTTCGGCGCTCTTAGAGCTTCTGCTAACTCGTTCACGAGCCGGCCCTTAACGTGGCCAACATTCTAAGCGTCGCTAAAACGGCGAATCTCCGTGGCGTTGCAGGACTATGTTGGACTACTAGCTTTAGTTGCTCCCGAAGCCGTCCTTGTCGTCAGGAGACTCCTCGCAATACTTGCACACACCTCAGCCGGCTTGGCGCCGCGACGTCGGCTCCCCGGACGCCGTAGCCATTCAATCGACATCATTGACGTCATACCATATAAGATGTGACGTGGAACTATTCGTAGACCGAGCCTGTCACGGGGGCCTGTCGCCTGTCATTCGAATGTCCGCCGATCAGCTCAGCCCACATAAAAAACGTGCAGCAGTTCCCCATTGCCACTCACTTGGAGGAGCGGACCTCCGCCACCAGTTCTAGTAAGCATTTGATAGAGCAAATCTTCTAGCTTATGATGCCGTACTTACTCCTCGGATTGAATGAGTTTGAACGGAGTTATGGCTTTAGACAGTGAAAAAACTCGCACTCATCACGATTTTTCCTCGTTAATTTTGCAAAAATCCTCAACGTTTTTCATCCATTTTTCGAATACTGGACGTATAAAGTGGCTTTAGTAACCGTTTGATAGAGGAAATCCTCTAGTTTCGTCTGCCATATTAACTTTTCGAATTTGACCAAAACGAAGCAAGTTATTGCTTCGGGAAGTGTAAAAACTCGTGCTCATCTCGAATGTTCCTCGTTAATTAACCTAAATTTGTAATTTCTCATAACTTTTTGTAATTTCAATTTTAATCAGAAGCT